TTAGTTAAATATATTAAATGTTTTTAGTTAAGTATATTAAATATTTTTAGTTAAATATATAAATATTTTTTGTTAAACATATTAATTTTTTTAAATATATTACATATTTTAGTTAAATATATGAAATATTTTAGTTAAATATATTAAAATTGTTTAGTTAAATACATTACATATTTTGAGTTAAATATATTAAATATTTTTAGTTAAATATATTAAATATCTTAGTTAAGTATTTTAAATATTTTTTGTTAAATATATTAAATATCTTAGTTTAATATATTAAATATTTTTAGTTAAATATATTAAATATTTTTAGTTAAATTGCAGCATCCTATACAAATAGCACTCCTCGTAAGTGCATGCTCAATTATATTGAATTACATGCATGATTATAACCAACACAATCACAATGCGCTATATAGGATTGTATGCATGCTCCCTTAATCTGGGCGAATGCATGGCATTAATGTTTCTGTCTATATCATGATGAGTGCACCTTAAAACCAGTGAGTTACTCTACATTTGTTTGACCACAGATCATGCTCTCTGGTTGGCCATTTGACCTGTGGCTCTACAGCGGATCAGATAAGACACGCACACAATAGCCGAGCTGTTTCAGAGCGGGGGGGATAAGGGTCTCCGGGAATTCAACAGCCTCCAGCTCGCTCTGCAACTGCCCAAGAGACTGAAAGGCCAAAGGCCACAGGGAGAGGTCTTGAGTGTGGCCTCTGATTGGCCGGAGAGGGGCTGATTCTGGCCTCTGATTGGCCGGAGGGGGTCATGTGGTCGGGGGCTGTAAATCGCCTCCTGGCTGGACGAACCATGATTGATCTGAAGCTTTTTAGGTTTGCATTCTTCCCTTCTGTTCACAGGCGAAGCATTCTTTGCCTCTGCTGTCATTTCTCTAAAGAAGGAGCGAGAGGTGAGGTCAGGTCACGACACCGCAGGACACTGTTTGTTCACAGCGCTCGCTCGGCTCCTTGTGCATTATGCATCTGCTAATAAAACCTTAAAACGTCTCAAATTACTTTGCATTAAAGATGAATAAATGGATTAACTGGCATCCTCCGTTACAGCATTTTTAACCTGTCAAAGTTGCATTTAACTGTGTCGAATCTCTTCATTGGTCTCTAGAGAACAAGCGGAGACACTAATGAACAACTTTCAGTTTTACTCTGTGAATGAGGATGTTAAGTGATGTTTTACTCTGACAGAAACACTATAGTGTGTGTGTGTGTGTGTGTGTGAGGCTGAAATGTCAGTATGTTGGTGGCATCTCTTACCTGCACTAAAAGATCTTTTAAGGGCTCTTGGTAATGATCCGCTTTCAGAAAACACTAACACACTCGTATTGCTTTACCATCTCTGACAGTCACACACTGGACACACACAATAACACACAGAGGGTGAAAGTTTCGTCCCTGACTGCACGAGTATTATTTTAATGTCAGTCTGTACAGCGATTAAAAGAATATCGCAGAATGTGAAAAAAAAAAAAAAATTTGGGGGGTCATTTATGTTCTGAGTCACTTTTATGTAGAAATAGAGACCAATTATTTGTATTTTTGGCATTTGATTTCAGTGAGAGAGTCGTATAATGAGATTTTTACAGTACATTTAACTCCCATATTGCGTGGTCCAATTAATCTGCGCATGAAAAATCAATTTATGAAATGATTTATGTTTTGGATGATTCATAGCACTATTATTAATGTAAGTTAAATTTAGTTAGTAAAAATAAGTTATTTTAGTGCGTAAGTTTAAAAAAGTGACAGAAAAAAAACATTTATAATGTTACAAAAAGATGTTAAAAGTTAGTTTCTAACTTTTTATACTTCATAAAATCCTCGACACCAATATGAAGCAGCACGACTTGTTTTAAACATCGATAATAATCATAAATATTTCCTGAGCAAATCATCATATTAGAGTGATTTCTGAAGGATCATGTGACAGTATTGATGCTGAAAATTCAGCTTTGATCACAGGATATAAATTACATTTTACGATATATTCACATAGAAAACAGCTATTTTAAATTGTAATAATATTTCATATTTTTTCTGTATTTTTGCCATTGATGAGCAGAAGAGACTTAATAAAAAACGACCTCAAACTTTAGAACGGCAGTGTAGATTTAATGATATTGCATGCAATTTGTTGATGACGTTATGGTGGACATAATTCCTGCTCGTATTGAACAATTTAAAGCAGGTTATACCAAAGTAAATAATATTTGTCTTCATAATCGTTCATCAAAATTCTCCACCTCTGAAGAAACTTTCCTTTCAGGCCACTTAAACTCACTCAACCAATATTCATTTGACTGCATATCATCAATCACGATCAAATCAAGGAAATATGGGTGGTGAATACAGTTTCATGCTGAGACTAGTTTTAAATAAATTGCATAAAATGTTGAATACAGTAGTTGTAATGATGTTTCTCTCTCCATGACTCTGAAACGGAAGTGTCCTCTTCTAATGTTGCCGTGTTGTGCTAGTGGATCCTCACAGGTTCATGTTTGGTGGCCTGAGATGCCTAAGCAGGGATGATCTTACTGCTGGTCAGGATTTGATGAGGTCAAAGGTGAGAGGTCAGGTCAGTGGAAGGGCCAGACTTACAGATCCTTTTATAATGCAGCTGCGTGGCAGAAGAACATGAGTATCTTCTTAAATGAAAAGATTCTACCATTGCTCTAAAGTTGGCTATGTTTGAAAAGAAAAGAAATTAAGGTTTTTGATGAAAACATTCCAGGATTTTTCTCCATATAATGGACTTCAATGGGAACCAAACGGTTGACGGTTTCAGTGCAAACTGTTCAAAGGGCTTTAAACGAATCCAGATGATGAATAAGGGTCTCATCAAGTGAAACGATCGCTCATTTAATAAGTAAATAACAAAGTTTAAGTTTTTATAAGCACAAATGCTCGCCTTGTTGACTCCTGTTCGAACTTGTTCATCAAAATGAACAAATCTTTTTCCGAGTCAACTCATTCATTTCGTTCGTTGAATAAACCAAATGACTTGAAAAAAGATTCGAAGAAAGTGTCTTTTGGAGTTATTTATTTATTAAATGAGCGATCGTTTCGCTTGATAAGACCCTTATTCATCGTCCGGAATAATTTAAAGCCCTTTGAACACTTTGCAGTTTGCACTGAAACTCTCATTTTGACCTTGAACCGTTTGGTCCCCATTGAAGTCCATTATATGGAAAAAATCCTGGAATGTTTCCATCAAAAACCTTAATTTCTTTTCGACTGAAGAAAGAAAGACATGGACATCTTGGATGACATGGGGGTGAGTAAATTATCAGCAAAAGTTTTTTTTAAAAGTGAAGTGTGTAAGTCTTTTATATGTTGTTTATATTGGGACTGTTGGTCACCCTAGATTAAGATGTGTATTTCTAAACCGTCTGTATGTTCTGTGAGGCTGTAGTAGTTTTACATCTGTAATGAAGACTTCCTCTCGGTGATGGGATCGATCTTATCCGTGTCTTACTTAATCTTTGTACCGCAACTCTGATTTTATCATCATCTCCGTCCTAACGTGAGATTTATACTGAGGTCTGTATGTAAGCAGAGCTCCCATTGATTCCTGTTAACTAATCATTGACCCGAGGGGGTGGGGGGCGATCGTAATGGGTTTTGGGGGTTTTATGGCCGTCAGTGTGAGAAGGTCAGACCTGGACCGTAGCAGCGAAGTAAAGGCCTCACTGAAGACTAACATAATGCTTTTCAATCATAAAACAGGCTGTGTTTGCTTGACTGGTGTGTATTGTGTTTGCTTTTACTGATTATTATCACTCTGAAAGCAAGAAAAGTCTTTGTAAAGGTACACTGTAAAAAAAGTAAATTTTACTTAATTTTTTCAAGGCAAGTTTTTGCACTGATATTTAACTAAGTTAAGAAATTAAGTCATTTTTATTTAGCTAATTAAGAATTAAGTAATATCTATTCGATTTAATTCAATTTTTCTTCAACATTTCACTCAAATAATATAACATTGAATTAAACCACTCTGTTTAAGTAATCAATACTTGCAGTGTGTCTCATCATGTCTTGATATAGTATGTGTGAATGCAGACCTCATATTTGGTAGACAATACACAATGACGGTAACATTTGATAGATCGTTTTTGCGTTTGAATGTGTCATTTTAAGTAGAAAATGAACTCCAAATGTCACAAAATGGCAAATTACTAATCCTAACAACAAAAGTAATGATAAAATAGTGTAAATACAGCTGGAAAACAGTGAAAAATCAACCTCATTAATTATTCATGGCCCAGTGCATGATGGGAACACTAGTATCAGAAAAGTTGAGTAATTTTACTTAATTTTATAATGTTGATATTTACGCTTTTATTTCTACACGATTGAATTGAGTTCTACTATAGAATTTACTTATTTTTTAAAATTCTTGCCTGAAGTAACTTTTTTCATGTAAAATTACATTGTTTTTTTCTGTAGTATTTACTTCACCACAAAATCATTTTTATCAGTGTAGTTTCATCATTTACTCACTAATAACACACCTATTTTTCATTTATAATAGTTTCTTTTTTGTTTTAAACTTTGAAATGTATTGCATTTAAATATGAACATTTTCTAATGTTTTGTTAGAGAGAAAGCAAAGGTAACGAGCAAAAGGGTCCGTGTTTAGAGACTAACAAACACACACACAGAAGTGTTACCAAAAGGTGTGTGTGTTATGCTAACGTGAGGTGTGTGCTGCTATTGTTTATCTAAAGCTTTTGGTTTAGTTTGGCTCATTCATCTCCACTGACAGTGTGAGCATGTGTCCTGGATCGTCTTACAACCAAACCAAGCCTCTCTCTCGTTCGATTTAGTTTATCTCATTGGCATTTGAACAATGTTCAGATTTGCCATTAAAGCAAGAGATTATCCATTCACAGCTCAATACGTGACTATTGATAGTATTGTTAGAGAAGGAGCTGACCGTTATGTAGATGATGATTTTATGTTGTCTTTCTGCAGGTTTATCGACCTTCACTCAGCAGCCGTCATCAATCACGGTTACGGACGGATCCGTCACGCGATTCGCCTGTAAAATCAGTGCCACGCCCCCACCAATCATCACCTGGGAGTTTAACAGAGTCACTTTACCACTGGCCACTGAAAGGTAAAGCTCCGCCCACTTGCTAGAGGGAGGAGGGGCTTAGTGTGCATGAAAGTCTCCATGAAATCAAACATTGTTTTGCTTTTAGTATGAACATTTTAGTCTTCCTTTTATCTGTAAGCTGATGTGCTCCAAAACAATGACACAATACAAGCCGTCTCTCAGTTCTAGGGCTGTCAAAATTAATCGCATCCAAAATAAAAGTTTGTGTTTACATAATATATGTGGGTGCACTGTGTATAATTATTTTATATAAATACACACATGCTTGTATATATTTAAGAAATATTATTTTCATTTATATACTGTATATAGATTTATATATAATTTAGATTATATATAAATATTTTATATATAAATTTTAGGGCTGTCAAACGATTAATCGCAATTAATCGCATCCAAAATAAAAGTTTGTGTTTACATAATATAAGTGTGTGTGCACTGTGTATAATTATTTTGTATAGATATAAATACACACACATGCATGTATATTTAAGAAAAATATTATTTATTTATAAAATATTTATATATATTTTTATTTATATACTGTATATAGATTTATATCTAATTTATATTATATATAAATATTTTATATATAAATTTTAGGGCTGTCAAACGATTAATCGCAATTAATCGCATCCAAAATAAAATTTTGTGTTTACATAATACTGTATGTGTGGGTTCACTGTGTATAATTATTTTGTATAGATATAAATACACACACGTGCATGTATATTTAAGAAAAATATAATTTATTTATAAAATATTTATATTTATATATAATATAAATTGTATATAAATCTATATACAGTATATACATGAAAATATTTCTTAAATATATACAAACATGTGTGTGTATTAATATGTATACAAAATAATTATACACAGTGCAGACACTTATATTGTGTAAACACAAACTTTTATTTTGGATGCGATTAATCGTTTGACAGTCCTACTCACTTCCGCCAATAGGAATCACTGATTTTGATGACATCACTGCACTTCAGATTTTTAGTCCAATCAAATGCTCTCTAGAATCTAAAGCTCCGCCCCCTACATTATAAATAGATGCAAAAGCTGCAGCTGAAATTGGTCACTTTTCACACATTTACTGTTTTCTACATGGTGAGTGAGACATAGTGCACTATATAGGGGATAGGGAAGGATTCAAACTGTGTAAATATGCTTTCCTTTGGAGCGAATGAAGTCGGGGTTCATGTTAGTGTTAGAGCCCGACCGATAAAGGATTTTGAAGGCCGATACTGATACAAATATTTTTGGGTTTTAAAATCCGATATTCCGATATATCGGCCGATATTTTATTTATTTATTTATTTTAAACTGGAGATGATTAGTCACAAATTTTGAGAACTGAGAAGAGAACTGATGGGGATGTTCTTTTAATAGTTATTCAAACAATGTATGTATCGTGACCAACTCAACGAGTTTTGCCAACAGGAACGGTGTAGAGTGCCCTCTGGTGGACAAACTATACAACTCCAACACTCATGACATGGTTCAAGCGTGTTTCGTCCGTTTTTATTTTATTTTTTAAATATTCATTTATCGGCCATTATAACTGCCGATACCGATAGTTTGGAAAATGCATAATATTGGCCGATAATATCGGTCTGGCTCGTGTCACGCGAACAGCTGCAGCTCCAGAGACACGACAGCACAGAGTGGATCATGCGATCGAGTCGATGAGAGCCCAAAACGTATCGGACCCAGTTTAATTCTAACGGTTGGAGATTATGAGGAAACGGCGGATTTAACGAGCTCTGGTGATATAAACAAAACGCAATTGGCTATTTTTTTAAAAAAGGGGAGGAGCTGCTCGATATGCCCCGCCCTCTCTTCATGGTTCAGTGGAAATGTGTTTCAAGGCACTTCAATATGGCTTATTCTAATATACATTGTATTCTTGTTCCACCATTATTTTAACTATTTGATTAATGCATGTTCTTGTGATTAATTGCATTGCAATTATTTCATTTGTGCATGTTAATCTAAAGAAGAAAAGAAATAGTTTCAGCATAAAATCCACTTGATTTTACCTGAATGTTTGCATGTCTCAATCTAGAATCACAGTGTTGCCCAGCGGCGTTTTACAAATTCAGGGAGTTGAACAGACGGATGCTGGGAGTTACCGCTGTGTGGCGACTAACATCGCCAGCCGACGCAGGAGCGCCGACGCCACGCTAACCGTCACCGCAGGTTAGATATCCACCCAAACATGTAGCTCACCAAAGTATTTCTGCACAGGGAGTTTATACAGTCAAAGCACAATTATTTAATTACAACATTTATAATTATTTAATTTCAACATTTCTCACATTATCACAGTTTAGAAAATGGTAAGAAAATATGACAAGAGTTGATATTTCACTGGTTTTGTCCTAGACTCTCACAAATGAGTTATGTTGAATATCTATCAGCTGTTAAGTTGAACTACACAATTAGATAATAGCAGTTTAGCTCAAACGATTACCAAGCAATGCTTCATGTTGTTCAGTCTGTGTGTAAAAAGGTCGCATTAGCAATTAAATTCAGCAAAACATGGTCAGGTCAAAGTGTCAATTTTTATACATTTTACTGGTAGTAACTGTAACGATTTTTTTAGGTTTAACCCTAAAACTGTATTCTGGACAAATGTGGGCAAAATAGTTTTGATTTATTTTTTAAAAATACTTCCCTTGATCTGAGCGGTACAAGACTTGGCTACTTTTCCTAAGTTTGCCTCCTGAACACAAAATTTTTTTTTGGACTCAATTCTACAATGTTAAGTGTGTGAAAAAACTCCTTAATATTGTATTTGGGTCAAAAATGGGCACCCATAGAAATGAATGGGAAAAACTGTAATTGAGAGCATTCTAAAATAAGCCAAAATAAGACACCAGGTGACAGCAAAGTCACTTCATCTTTAGGTTTTAGCTCGAAGAACTTATTGGAATGATATTTTAATGTAGTTAAAAAATAAATAAATAAATAAAACATAAAAATAAGCATAATTTAAATAGAAAATATGGTACTAAATAAATTCAAAAATACCCCCAAAATAAAAAAAAAACACCATAAATGGATAGACAAAACTTTATCGAAGACAGTGATATAACATTTATAATAAATAAAAAAGTCCTGTGTGCCCACATTTGTCCACAATTACAGGATTAAGGGCTATAAAGTGAGTACGGTTTGAGGGTTTACTTTATTTTGCTATCCTCACTTGCATAAATGAACTTCACCCGCTTGGTTTGACTGTATATTTACATACAGTATATTTCACTTTAATTTACACTTGCCATCTTTTGACTTTTCAATAGCTCCATCTCCCAGAGTTCCTCAAAGGCCTCGAATCATCGCCGGCCCGCAGAATCTGACCGTGGCGGTTCACGGTTCGGCTCTGCTGGAGTGCGTGGCGACCGGACATCCTCGTCCGCTGATCTCATGGAGCCGGGCCGACCATAAATCCATCGACGTTCACAAAACGAAGGTCCTTGGCAATGGAAACCTGCTCATATCTGACGTGAAACCCCAACATGCGGGAATGTACTTCTGCCGAGCGACTACACCTGGAACCAGAAACTACACCATTACAGCCGCTAATATAACTGTGCTAGGTAAACAATCGTTATCGTGGATGTGTTTGCTTTATGGCCTTCTTAATACTCAAAGAAAAATATGTGGTGTACACTACAAGTCAAAAGTTTTTTTTTTTTTTCTGCTCATCAAAGCTGCTTTTATTTGATCACAAATACAGTAAAAACAGTGAAATATATTCACATTTTTTAATTGTAATAAAATGTCAAATTATAATTTATTCTTGTTATCAAAGCTGAATTTACTCCACATGATCCTTCAGAAATCACTCTGATATATTGATTTGCTGCTCAAGAAACATTCATGATTATTATCAATGTTGAAAAATGTTTTTTTTATGAACCATTATTATTAATTGACTAACTGATAATGACTATGCAACAATTAAGCATATTAGAAGGATTACTGAAGGCTCATTTGACACTAAAAACTTGAGTAATACCAGGAAAATGTACACAATATTTAACAATGTTATTGTTTTTACTAGTGATGTGTGCAACGACTAATTTGCACAATAAAAACTAGTATTTCCAAGTCGACTAGTATCTAGTTTTTACAATATTTTAATCACATAAATGCAGCCTTGGTGAGCATGAGAGACTTCTTTCAAAAACAGAAGAAATTGTAATTATTCTGATTATTCTTGCACAAATACATCTCTGTGCTTTTATGTTTGTGCAGCGCCTCCATCTCTCGTGGAGTGGCCTGAAAGCGTGACCCGACCCAGAGCCGGTACCGCCCGCTTTGTGTGTGTGGCCGAGGGATTTCCCAGCCCTCAGATCACATGGCTGAAGAACGGTGAACCCGTTCACTCCAACGGACGCATCAAGATGTACAACAGGTACTGCATGTGGAAAACATCCATGTGCGATCAGGACATGCAGGACATGTTTTTTAGTGCTGGGCAACGATTAATCGCATCCAAAATAAAAGTTTCTTTACATTAAATGTGTGTGGGCTGTGTATAATTATTTTGTATATATAAATAGTTTACACACATATGCATGTATACATTTAAGAAATATTTGCATGTATATACTGTGATAGCAGGTATGGGCAACAATTAATCACGATTAATCGCATCCAAAATAAAAGTTTGTGTTTATATAATATATGTGTGTGTACTGTGTATAATTATTTTGTATATAAAAATTCACACATGCATGCATGTATATATTTAAGAAAAATGTGTTAAATTTTTGTGTTAAGAAAATATTAATATTTAATATTTATGTAAAAATATATATCAAGTATTTACATGCAAATAGTTATTTAATATATACATACATGTATACAAAATAATTATACACACTACACACACATTTATTATGTAAACAAAAACTTTTATTTTGGATGCGATTAATCGCAATTAATCGTGACCCAGCCCCGTCAATATAAACATTTTATATATTGATAAGACTGTACATTTTTCTTAAATGTATACATGCATGTGTGTGTATGTATAAATATACAAAACAATTATACACACATATATATTATGTAAAAACAAACTTTTATTTTGGATACGAATAATCCTGATTAATCGTTGCCCAGCCCTAATATTTATACATTTTATATATTGATAATACACATTGATATATATGCATATATACAAAATAATTTACATTATATACAGTATGTGTCTTTACTATGAATAACACAAACTGCGATTAATCGTTGCCCAGCACTTGTTTTTTTTTTCTTAATCGTTCAACACGCCTCACAACCACCCTGAATTATATCATGTCTTAAAGTAAATATGGACACTTTCTGAACACTTTGTGCACGTTGCATTTGTTTCTATTTGACTTATCAGGAGTTTGAGTTGTTGAGCCCAACCTGACGCCCAGACAGGCTTTAGGCCGCTGACGTTGCTCAGGTCTTGAATTGGCTCATTTGTCTGCTGGAAACTCAGTCCTGCTGAAATATTCATCGGCTGGTTTCTTCTGTGGAACAAGAGAGGGTTAATTATTCAGCGCTCTGCTAATGGTGTTTGAGCTGATTTTTCTCTTTGATTTTCCTCTAATTTGTTTTCCTGTCTAGGTTTTGTATTGGATCCTGAAAGCGAACAGGGAGGGCGAGTGATTTGGACTAGTGCTATTGACGTGTTCATGTTAAACATGCATGTTAAATTTATACATGTGTTCTTGCATCTAGGTAGTAAAATGTGCTGAGGATATGCTAATGAAGATACTAATGTAATATAATTTTCCATTATTATATTAAATGAAGAAAAAAAGTTTTATAAAAATATGCAAAAATTTTACCAGCCCTACTACTAAGATTCTTATAATATAATATAATATAAAATTATAAATGTTCCCTAAATTATTATTTAAAATAAAAAAAACACACATTTCCCACCAAATTCACAGTAATGAGGTAGTAAAATGTGAGGTGGTAAAATGCAAAAAATTCTCTAATAAGATTATAATAATAATATAATATTTTTTCTTCTGTTATTATATTATATAACGATTATTCCCCTGAATTCTCATTACTCTAAAGCATGCTGATGTTTTAGTTTTGTTAATTGTAGCAGTATTTTCCATGGTGAGTCTCATACTTAATAATGTAATGCAGTTTTTTTTTCAATAGATTTTCTTTTAAAATATATGTTTGAATGAACGGTAGTGCAACTAAATATTAAAAAAAGAATTATGCTTTACAGTAATGTGAATTTGGGGGTAAAATGTGGTTAATTTCTATGAAAAAAATGCAATTTTCTTTTTTACCCGTCTCAATAATGCAAAAACGATTATTGTTTTTTTACTTAAAGATTTTTTAAGAGACATCCTAAGGCACACCTCATTGTGTTTTCACAGTAAACTAGTGATAAACCAGATTATTCCGGAAGATGACGGCATATATCAGTGTGAGGCGGAGAACGAGCAGGGTTCAGTTCTGGCCATGGCTCGTCTGATCGTAGTGATGTCCGACAACCGGCCGAGCGCGCCCAGAAACATCCGCGCCGACACCGTGTCCAGCTCCGCCATCCTGCTGGCCTGGGAGAGACCCGTGTACAACTCGGACAAAGTCATCGCCTACTCTGTGCACTACATGAAGGCAGAAGGTGAGTGTCTCGGATATAAACGGAGAAGTGTGGAGCTGTCAGCGGTGAAAATGATGTAAATGCAAAACTATTTCCGCAAAATATATGCGTCGATTTTTATTTTCAGCTCCTGCTTTAAAAAAATGCATGTTACTAAACTATTTTTAAAATTATTATTATTATTTAACATTTATTTTATTATGAGCCATCCCGTTTTCAAAGGGGGCCCTCGAATCTAGATGCAAAAATTGACCTTACAACAGCTGTCAAATAAAACATAACAACAAAAACAAATACAAATACAAAAACATACTTTACAATAATGGTACAGAAATATATAAACAAAACCCATACAAAAAAGACATTTACTCACACAAGACTCTCTAAAGTAAACGCATATAATATGTACCAAAACCAAAATATTATAATATGATAATTATTTTCCTTAAATTACTATATTAAATAAAGATGCATATCCAGTAATGAGAATTTGATTGATAGAAAGCTTCGTTTTTATAGATATAATGCAAAAAAAATGTTGCAGACGCTAAAAATTATCAAACTATATTATGTATTATAAAGAAAATGATTGAAAACACTCTTTCCCCTAAATTCTCTCTACTGTAATGTGTTTTAGTTTAGTTTGTGGTAGTTTTCATTACTCTCTGTGGTGAGTCTCATGATTTGTAATAATGCAGTATGATTTTATTCAGTCAATTTTGTAATATTTCATATATTTAAATGAGCTTAAAGGAGTGGATCACTTTTTAAAAAAAATGTGCTGATAATTTACTCACCCCCATGTCATCCAAGATGTCCATGTCTTTCTTTCTTCCGTCGAAAAGAAATTAAGGTTTTTAATGAAAACATTCCAGGATTTTTCTCCATATAATGGACTTCAATGGGAACCAAACGGTTCAAGGTCCAAATGAGAGTTTCAGTGCAAACTGCAAACTGTTCAACGGGCTTTAAACGATTCCAGACGATGAATAAGGGTCCCATCAAGCGAAACTTGATAAATAAATAACAAAGTTTAAGTTTTATAAGCTCAAATGCTCGCCTTGCTCTGTTTTGTGTGAGCATTTGAGCTTATAAAACTTAAACTTTGTTGTTGTTTTTTAAATGAGCGATAGTTTTGCTTGATAAGACCCTTATTCATCGTCTGGAATCGTTTAAAGCCCTTTGAACAGTTTGCACTGAAACTCTCATTTGGACCTTGAACCGTTTGGTTCCCATTGAAGTCCATTATATGGAGAAAAATCCTTTTTTTTTCATCAAAAACCTTAATTTCTTTTCGACTGAAGAAAGAAAGACATGGACATCTTGGATGACATGGGGGTGAGTAAATTATCAGCAATTTTTTTTCAAAAGTGAACTCCTTTAAATCAAAGTCAGTGCAACATTCCAATAATGAGAGTTCGAGAGTTTATGAAAATAGAAGCCCAATAAATTCAGAATTATTCTTGATTTTGTGGGAGAAATGCTCTCTCTCTCCATTCAGGACAGTTGCAAAAGTCACTTTTGGACAAAAATGCTTGCGATTTGAATGCTTTTAGATTTTGAGAAAGACATCCAAATAAAAGACCTGCAAAACAATGAGATGTCCAACAGGAACTGTCCTGACAAGTGTGAAACCCTTATTAGGGAGTTTGCCGGTTGCACTTGGACTTCCCGAATTCCCGGCTATTATTGGGAGAAGAAAAGCTGAAGAGAAAGAGTACATGCTGCATCTGCTTTCCAGGGCAAAAAGCATCGGAAGTGATTGAAAAGAGGGCTAATTATCCCGAGTGTTGGAGTGTCTTAATCTAACCCTGAAGAGGCTTTAGGGGGTTTGTCTCTGTGCGTCAGAGTCAAAGTCTTCAGTGTGGCCATTCAGCGCCAGAACAAGGTCTTTTCTGTTGACTGTCGAGTTTCTTGTTTATTGGGTCAGAAATTCAGTTGGGGACTCAATGCTGCAGAGTGCTTCTTTTATTTGGCCATTTTAATGTAGCCTTGTTAAAGTGTTATCAGGTGCAGTGGACCTGTGGGAAAACCAGCAGGTGGAATTCTCCTTGATAAAGCGGTTCGTTAAAAGAAGGCTGTGTTGATTGAGTTGACATGTTTCCTTTTAATCCGGCCCTGGGTTTTGAATTGTAGTAGACTTCATGCATTTACATTTATCAAGTGTGAGAACGAAGCACGCTAACTCTGGGTAGTTTGGTATATATGCATTATTAGTTTGAATTTAGTGCCCCAGTGGTGAAAATCAAGCACTGTTTTTAATATTTAATAAGAAAAATAAGAATTGACTCTTTAAAACTGCAGTGAACCAAAGACAGTCTCAAAAACACAGTTTTGTGTTTCTGACGTTGCAAACTAGCTTGTAACCAATCAGATCAACACTTAATCATCAACCAGTGGATCTCTTAGTGGAGGCGGGTCTCATTTGCATATTCATAGAATCACGCATACTAAATGAGGCAAGGGTGTAGCTATTTACAAGCTATTTTAAGGCATAAAGAAAAAAAACTTTTGTGATCAAAGACGAGTTGATCGACTTGGATTGCATTTGATCAGTTCATGCATTCCCTGAGAATCGAGTGCGTCATGCTTTCCAGTTTCCACACAGGCTTGTCGTGTCTCAACAGGTCTAAATAACGAAGAGTACCAGATTGTTATCGGTAACGATACCACCCGCTACATCATTGATGACCTGGAGGCCGGGCAAAACTACACCTTTTACATCGTGGCGTACATGCCCATGGGTGCCAGTCGCATGTCGGACCACGTCATGCAGCGCACGTTCGAGGACGGTGAGTAGGGGATGAGAATCAGACACGCAAAAGTTGTGTTAGAAGATACAAACATGAACAAAAGCATGCTCGTGATTGGTTAATCCTCTTCAATGACTGTTCAGAAAGGGTTTATCTTCCTCTCACGCAGGAGAGTTTCTTAAACACTGTTTTTTTAAGTGTTAATCCACTTTATTTAGGAATGAGCTGAGTGAGCTTGTTTATTTGCCTTTAAAAACATGCAACATTCATTATATAGATCCACTCGTAATCCACCGAAACAGTTGGTTTGCATGACCATTTTCTATATGTAAATGTCACAAAATGAGTCACAAGGGTCAATTTATGCGTCTGGAAGCTGAATTAATAAGCTTTCCATTGATTTATGGATTAAGATGGGACAATATATGGCTGAGATATGTCTATTTGAAAATCTGGAATATGAGGGTGCAAAAAAAAAATCAAAACAGTTGTCCATTTTTTTTTTTGTTTTTTTTTTGTTTCACAATTTTAAAAAAATCAATATTTACGGTAATATATTAAGCAGTGAATTTAAAAATGTCTTCATGGAACATGGAGCTTTGGATCTTTAATATCCTAATGATTTTTTGCATAAAAGAAAAATGGATAATTTTGACCCATACATGTATTGTTGTTGGCTAATGCCATAAATATACTCACTTTGTGATCCAGGGTCACACATTTAGTCTGTTATCATTGTCTAATGCTTAGTGGGTTTAAAGGAGTAGTTCACTTTAAAAAAAAAACTTTCCTTATAGTTTACTCACCCCTGTGTCATCCAAGATGTCCATTTTCGAAAAGAAATTAAGGTTTTTGATGAAAACATTACAGGATTTTTCTCCATATAATGGACTTCAATGGGAACCAAACGGTTCAAGGTCCAAAAGACAGTTTCAGTGCAAACTGTTCAAAGGGCTTTAAACGATTCTAGACGATGAATAAGGGTCTTATCAAGCGAAACGATCGCTCATTTAATTTTTTTTTACGTTTTATTAGCTCAAATGGTCGCCTTGCTCTGTTCTGTGTGACTCTCCTGTTCATCAAAACGAACGAATCTTTTCCAGAGTCAACTTTCTATTCGTTGAATGAACCAAATGACACGAAAAAAGATTCATTCATTTTGATGAACGAGTTCGAACAGGAGAGTCACACAGAACAGAGCAAGGCGACCATTTGAGCTTATAAAACTTAAACTTTGTTATTTATTTATTAAATGAGCGATCGTTTCTTTAGATAAGACCCTTATTCATCATCTGGAATCGTTTAATCGCCCTTTGAACAGTTTGCACTGAAACTGTCTTTTGGACCTTGAACCGTTTGGTTCCCATTGAAGTCCATTATATGGAAAGCCATCAAAAACCTTAATTTCTTTTCGACTGAAGAAAGAAATCTTAGATAACATTGGATGACATTTTTTTAAAAGTGAACTACTCCTTTAACTTCTGCATCTCATTAAGCTCATTATATTTCTCATTTCTCTCTCCGTCGTCTCAGTTCCCTTGCGTGCTCCTGAGTTGAGCCTCACCAGCCGCAGTCCCACTGATATTCAGGTGTCGTGGCAGCCTCTGTCTCATAAGCTGAGTCGCGGCCGTGTTTCTGCGTACCGCCTCTCGTACAGGACCAGCGCAGACGAGGCGCTGACACAACTGGAGCTCTCAGGACACAAAACTCATCACCTTCTGGAGGGTCTTCAGCCCGACACTACGTACCTGCTGCGTGTGGCTGCGGCGACCGGCGTGGGCTGGGGGGAACCGTCGGCCTGGACGTCACACAGGACACCCAAGACTTCCAGCAACAAAGGTAGAGCATCAGTCTGAATATATATTCGGGGTGTAATGGTTCAAATTACTTGCAATTCGTTCTGTCAGGACCACTATTGTCCAGTTAGCGTACAGTTTGAATTGGCGGTCGATGTAGCCTAGCATGATTAAGAGCTGCCCTTAGGGTGAACGGCACAGAACCAACATGAATGTATATCAGATTTCATTCATTCATTTTAATGTACAACATATTTCGAGAATTTAGTCTGATTCAGAGGGAATCAGAAGGCCAAATCCTGACTGGACAGGAGCAGCTGGGTAATTCTTACTTACTTTACTTTATTCAGGACTCAAAAAGAAAGGTCCATAGTACAAAAAAAAAAAACAACATACACCAGTTACAACAAAGCAATAAATAAATATAAAATACAAAGTTCATTACCTTTCATTTGCAATATACAAACAGGTGCACCAATGTCTCCACAGTCTAGATGTAAACCTAACAGAGCTAAAACCACTATGGGCTAAAGCTTGTATAATCCTGTTTTCAGAGACAGAAATTCTACACATGTATCGAAAAATAAAATTTCTTATTAAGGCAGTACAGGCAGTAATTCGCTCCTGAGAAACTCGATAGCTGCTGATAATACTGAAGGAGTTATATATGTATACAGTGATAAGCGTCGTATTCCTATAGGTGTTCGTGGATCACCTGAGAGTCACGGTTTTAGGTTCACGTTTTCGCTACACGGTATGTGTTAGGTTCAGGGAAAAAAGGGCTACTGTCAAATAAAAATGAAGAAAAATAAGAACAAATAATCAAACTACAAGCAACAGCGCAAATAAATACAAAAAGAGCAAAGATGATAAAATAAACTGCTTTTCAGGTTTTTCGGGTAGGTCTAACATTAGTTTTCAGCTACAGAAATTGGAGTAAATTAAACAAATGTTAAAAAGCATTGCATATTTTACTTTATAGTAAAGATTAAGCCTTATTAAAGTTACAAAAGCTATTCAATCGAGAGTATGTAAAACACAGACAGCACGTTTATTAGGCTGTTAGGCTCCACTTTTTTTGGAAATAGGCTCATTTTACAACTCCCCCAGAGTTAAAGTGTTGAGTTTTACCGTTTTCAAATCCATTCAGCCGATTTTCTGATATTTAGAAGAATATCAGTAACCAGACAGTTTCTGCTCTCAATGACTTCCATAGTATATTTCTTTTCCTACTATGGAAGTCAATGAGACCAGAAACTGTCTGGTTACTGATATTCTTCTAAATATCAGAAAATCGGCTGAATGGATTCGAAAACGGTAAAACTCAAATGTTTAACCCTGAGGGAGTTGTAAAATGAGCCTATTTCCAAAAAAAGTGGAGCCTAACAGCCTAATAAACGTGCTGTCTGTGTTTTACATACTCTCGATTGAATAGCTTTTGTAACTTTAATAAGGCTTAATCTTTACTATAAAGTAAAATATGCAATGCTTTTTAACATTTGTTTAATTTACTCCAATTTCTGTAGCTGAAAACTAATGTTAGACCTACCCGAAAAACCTGAAAAGCAGTTTATTTTATCATCTTTGCTCTTTTTGTATTTATTTGCGCTGTTGCTTGTAGTTTGATTATTTGTTCTTATTTTTCTTCATTTTTATTTGACAGTAGCCCTTTTTTCCCTGAACCTAACACATACCGTGTAGCGAAAACGTGAACCTAAAACCGTGACTCTCAGGTGATCCACGAACACCTATAGGAATACGACGCTTATCACTGTATACATATATAACTCCTTCAGTATTATCAGCAGCTATCGAGTTTCTCAGGAGCGAATTACTGCCTGTACTGCCTTAATAAGAAATTTTATTTTTCGATACATGTGTAGAATTTCTGTCTCTGAAAACAGGATTATACAAGCTTTAGCCCATAGTGGTTTTAGCTCTGTTAGGTTTACATCTAGACTGTGGAGACATTGGTGCACCTGTTTGTATATTGCAAATGAAAGGTAATGAACTTTGTATTTTATATTTATTTATTGCTTTGTTGTAACTGGTGTATGTTGTTTTTTTTTTTTGTACTATGGACCTTTCTTTTTGAGTCCTGAATAAAGTAAAGTAAGTAAGAATTACCCAGCTCCTCCTGTCCAGTCAGGATTTGGCCTTCTGATTCCCTCTGAATCAGACTAAATTCTCGAAATATGTTGTACATTAAAATGAATGAATGAAATCTGATATACATTCATGTTGGTTCTGTGCCGTTCACCCTAAGGGCAGCTCTTAATCATGCTAGGCTACATCGACCGCCAATTCAAACTGTACGCTAACTGGACAATAGTGGTCCTGACAGAACGAATTGCAAGTAATTTGAACCATTACACCCCGAATATATATTCAGACTGATGCTCTACCTTTGTTGCTGGAAGTCTTGGGTGTCCTGTGTGACGTCCAGGCCGACGGTTCCCCCCAGCCCACGCCGGTCGCCGCAGCCACACGCAGCAGGTACGTAGTGTCGGGCTGAAGACCCTCCAGAAGGTGATGAGTTTTGTGTCCTGAGAGCTCCAGTTGTGTCAGCGCCTCGTCTGCGCTGGTCCTGTACGAGAGGCGGTACGCAGAAACACGGCCGCGACTCAGCTTATGAGACAGAGGCTGCCACGACACCTGAATATCAGTGGGACTGCGGCTGGTGAGGCTCAACTCAGGAGCACGCAAGGGAACTGAGACGACGGAGAGAGAAATGAGAAATATAATGAGCTTAATGAGATGCAGAAGTTAAAGGAGTAGTTCACTTTTAAAAAAATGTCATCCAATGTTATCTAAGATTTCTTTCTTCAGTCGAAAAGAAATTAAGGTTTTTGATGGCTTTCCATATAATGGACTTCAATGGGAACCAAACGGTTCAAGGTCCAAAAGACAGTTTCAGTGCAAACTGTTCAAAGGGCGATTAAACGATTCCAGATGATGAATAAGGGTCTTATCTAAAGAAACGATCGCTCATTTAATAAATAAATAACAAAGTTTAAGTTTTATAAGCTCAAATGGTCGCCTTGCTCTGTTCTGTGTGACTCTCCTGTTCGAACTCGTTCATCAAAATGAATGAATCTTTTTTCGTGTCATTTGGTTCATTCAACGAATAGAAAGTTGACTCTGGAAAAGATTCGTTCGTTTTGATGAACAGGAGAGTCACACAGAACAGAGCAAGGCGACCATTTGAGCTAATAAAACGTAAAAAAAAATTAAATGAGCGATCGTTTCGCTTGATAAGACCCTTATTCATCGTCTAGAATCGTTTAAAGCCCTTTGAACAGTTTGCACTGAAACTGTCTTTTGGACCTTGAACCGTTTGGTTCCCATTGAAGTCCATTATATGGAAAGCCATCAAAAACCTTAATTTCTTTTCGACTGAAGAAAGAAATCTTAGATAACATTGGATGACATTTTTTTAAAAGTGAACTACTCCTTTAACTTCTGCATCTCATTAAGCTCATTATATTTCTCATTTCTCTCTCCGTCGTCTCAGTTCCCTTGCGTGCTCCTGAGTTGAGCCTCACCAGCCGCAGTCCCACTGATATTCAGGTGTCGTGGCAGCCTCTGTCTCATAAGCTGAGTCGCGGCCGTGTTTCTGCGTACCGCCTCTCGTACAGGACCAGCGCAGACGAGGCGCTGACACAACTGGAGCTCTCAGGACACAAAACTCATCACCTTCTGGAGGGTCTTCAGCCCGACACTACGTACCTGCTGCGTGTGGCTGCGGCGACCGGCGTGGGCTGGGGGGAACCGTCGGCCTGGACGTCACACAGGACACCCAAGACTTCCAGCAACAAAGGTAGAGCATCAGTCTGAATATATATTCGGGGTGTAATGGTTCAAATTACTTGCAATTCGTTCTGTCAGGACCACTATTGTCCAGTTAGCGTACAGTTTGAATTGGCGGTCGATGTAGCCTAGCATGATTAAGAGCTGCCCTTAGGGTGAACGGCACAGAACCAACATGAATGTATATCAGATTTCATTCATTCATTTTAATGTACAACATATTTCGAGAATTTAGTCTGATTCAGAGGGAATCAGAAGGCCAAATCCTGACTGGACAGGAGGAGCTGGGTAATTCTTACTTACTTTACTTTATTCAGGACTCAAAAAGAAAGGTCCATAGTACAAAAAAAACCAGTTACAACAAAGCAATAAATAAATATAAAATACAAAGTTCATTACCTTTCATTTGCAATATACAAACAGGTGCACCAATGTCTCCACAGTCTAGATGTAAACCTAACAGAGCTAAAACCACTATGGGCTAAAGCTTGTATAATCCTGTTTTCAGAGACAGAAATTCTACACATGTATCGAAAAATAAAATTTCTTATTAAGGCAGTACAGGCAGTAATTCGCTCCTGAGAAACTCGATAGCTGCTGATAATACTGAAGGAGTTATATATGTATACAGTGATAAGCGTCGTATTCCTATAGGTGTTCGTGGATCACCTGAGAGTCACGGTTTTAGGTTCACGTTTTCGCTACACGGTATGTGTTAGGTTCAGGGAAAAAAGGGCTACTGTCAAATAAAAATGAAGAAAAATAAGAACAAATAATCAAACTACAAGCAACAGCGCAAATAAATACAAAAAGAGCAAAGATGATAAAATAAACTGCTTTTCAGGTTTTTCGGGTAGGTCTAACATTAGTTTTCAGCTACAGAAATTGGAGTAAATTAAACAAATGTTAAAAAGCATTGCATATTTTACTTTATAGTAAAGATTAAGCCTTATTAAAGTTACAAAAGCTATTCAATCGAGAGTATGTAAAACACAGACAGCACGTTTATTAGGCTGTTAGGCTCCACTTTTTTTGGAAATAGGCTCATTTTACAACTCCCTCAGGGTTAAACATTTGAGTTTTACCGTTTTCGAATCCATTCAGCCGATTTTCTGATATTTAGAAGAATATCAGTAACCAGACAGTTTCTGCTCTCAATGACTTCCATAGTATATTTCTTTTCCTACTATGGAAGTCAATGAGACCAGAAACTGTCTGGTTACTGATATTCTTCTAAATATCAGAAAATCGGCTGAATGGATTTGAAAACGGTAAAACTCAACACTTTAACTCTGGGGGAGTTGTAAAATGAGCCTATTTCCAAAAAAAGTGGAGTATCCCTTTAAGACTTAATACACTGATACTGATTCACATGCGTTGTCTTTCTCGACTGTTTACGTTCTCTTAAAGGAGTAGTTCACTTTTGAAAAAACTTTTGCTGATAATTTACTCACCCCCATGTCATCCAAGATGTCCATGTCTTTCTTTCCTCAGTCGAAAAGAAATTTAGGTTTTTGATGAAAACATTCCAGGATTTTTCTCCATATAATGGACTTCAATGGGAACCGGATGGTTCAAGGTCCAAAAGACAGTTAATAATAACAGTTTCAGATGCAGCTTCAAATGTCTTTAAACGATATCAGACGATGAATAAGGGTCTTATCATGCGAAACGATCGGTTATTTCAAAACTTATTCCAAAAATTTAACTTTTCTAAGGACAAATGCTAGCCTTTCTCCATTCTGTGAGGCGCGTTTGTAACGTCACGTAATACGTAATTACGTTCAAAAGGTCACGGGCGACGTAGCCGGAAGTACAGAATCAAAATCGTCCGACATCGTTGTTTTTCCTTTTAATTCCTTTTTTGTAAACGGCGTTTGAGTTAGTTTGCACGTTTAACCTATGCGTTCAACTTGTAAACACTCTGACTCTGTACTTCTGGCTACGTCGCCCGTGACCTTTTGAACGTAATTACGTAATACGTGACGTTGCAAACGCGCCTCACAGAATATAGCAAGGCTAGCATTTGTCCTTAGAAAAGTTACATTTTTGGAATAAGCATTGAAATAACCGATCGTTTCGCATGATAAGACCCTTATTCATCGTCTGGTGTCGTTTGAAGACATTTGAAGCTGCATCTGAAACTGTTATTATTAACTGTCTTTTGGACCTTGAACCATCCGGTTCCCATTGAAGTCCATTATATGGAGAAAATCCTGGAATGTTTTCATCAAAAACCTTAATTTCTTTTCGACTGAGGAAAGAAAGACATGGACATCTTGGATGACATGGGGGTGAGTAAATTATCAGCAAAAGTTTTTTCAAAAGTGAACTAATCCTTTAAGGC